AGCATAATATAACTTGGATACCGACTAGTTCTCATTAGATATCCAGAAATATCCCGTATCCTATACCCCGTATCCTATACAGCGAACCATTTCATCCCATCGACAGCCAAAATACACCAACTCCTCAGCATCCTGAGCATCGTTCACTCTCAGGCGGTGCCTTGAAACCCCAAATGGGTGTTTCTGAAATTATTATTGCACTTGAGTAGCAATTCAATACCATGTAAGTTAAAAGTGCGAACACTACAATTTCATTGCGGTCTCCAATAATTGCATTTTGTCTATCTCTCCGTGCATTTGTGTTCTGGACAATTACTTCATGCTCAGTGCATGACACATGTTGCTAAGGGTCACGTGATGCATCATCATCACATATCTCATGTCAGCGATGGCAGCCATCGCGCGCCCAACGCAGATTCTCAAGCACCCAAGTAGAACACATCCAATACGTCCATGACGTCGCAAAGCCCAACGTCTGACTTGCCCAACTTCTGATTGAAAACAACGGCAATTTGAGAGTAGTCTCTTTTTGCTCTCCATTCTGCACTCATTCGTCCCCTCGAGTGGCCCCGAAGTTTGGTGGCGTCAGCTAGCCTGTTCATCCAAGCCCTTCACACCAAACAGCATTGGCAGCGGCACGTTTGCGCGCACCAACTCTGTCAAAGGAGACTCTGTGTCAAGTTCATGATCATTGTAGATGCTTCCATAACTGGCAAACAGCCTAAGATCTGGCAACAATATCAGAGGATTCTGCGGTAAGTCTGTTCCGTTTTCTATGTCGACATACAGATTCACCCAATGTCATGGGCAGGTGATAGTGAGCAACTGACACGGCCATTGAAAACAACCTCTACTGTCTGGTCTGACTCGGTCAGGAAGCTTCCGTCTTCCGTGTGTTCTCTAGAAAAGATATTCGCGCGTGGCATCAAACGTGAACTTGTTGAAGGCCACACAGCCATCAGCCGTGTCAGCTGCCAAGACCCTGGCAGCTTTGAAAAAGGACAGCACCTCCTTGATATGCTAGAACTTTGTCTCGCAGCATAGTATCACATCAGGGATCATCTTGAGGTCTCCTAAGCCAAAATATCGCCAGAGTCCACAGGCTCTCCAAATACCTGGTGGATGATGCCATGGACCTTCACTACATAGTCGTTTGCATTCTTCGACTCCTTTCCTCAATGCACCAGAAGCCGCTGCAAACTCTAGCACAAAGGCATCTGATAAAATATCCAGCACGCGCACTAAGAGCACTTCACTCAAGTCGTGCAGCCCCGGCATGGTCTTCGGGCTCCAGAAACAAGAGTAATTAGCTGCTCTTTGCTGTTCTGCATGCATGAGTGTGGATGACAATGATGATGCAGTAACTCAGGATTGCCATGCCATTTCGGCTAATCAGGGCCGTGCTGAGAGTCTATAACGTGGCATGAGTCAGTGTCCGATGTTCAGTTTCTGGATTCAACATGATGCATTCCAGTACCCAGCAGCACGCAGCTCAGCAGGTGGATATGAGTGTTACCTACCGTTTCCTGCCAGCTTCCCTTCAAACATATCCGAAAAGGGGGTTCTCTGATTTTTGGACCCGCGTCGTTCAACATTTGTCCATCCACAAGTAGGGGCCGAATGGGTTGGTAAGGGAAACAAAGGGTTTGTAAGGGGTTAACTCAGCGTTAATGGTAAGGCGTTGTGGGGAAAAATAAACCTGAATTATGTCATGAGTGTAGGGCAGTCAGGTGTAGTTGCTTATGTTGCGCAAACACGCTTCCCCTACCTTTAAAGCAGCAAAAGAAATCATTCGGCTAATGACCCCAAGTTGCTGACTGGAAATTCATAGCAAATCAAGCAAAGGAATCTGGACTCTGTTCTTTTGTTCTTTGATGCAGCAACAACTCAGAAACAGAACGCCACGTAAGGGTCTTTGGGCCTGCAATGCTTCTGGTTGCGAAAGAACCCTTCAACTTGCTTTCTCCAAAGCGAGCTGACCAGCTTTTGCGGCAAATACATATGGTGTATTGTTTTTGCCGGATCTCTTTTCACCTCACTTTAAAGGGCAGCCGCGAGATAAAGATGCACTTGTTTGGTCCAAATCCTGCATTTTGACACACACCCATGCTACAGGCGGTCAAACTTACTTGTTCCGCAAAAAGGACATGGTTGAAATTTAGAGAGTCCCTGGTTGAAGTTTCGAACTCCCATGTCCAAACCCCCTAAAATGGATCGATTTTGCGCGACCTCGAGCATGGGCCACACCGAAACCGACGAAGGGCCCAAGGGGGTTGGCCACTCGCTTCGACACTCGATGTGGATATGCGTCTTTTTGCGGGCAGCTTTTTTTCTCCGTGGTTTTCCAGTGGTTTTCCAGAGACACCAACCGTGGAAGAAACACATGCGGAAACCAAAAGGAATACCAACAATCTTTTGCTGGTGCCCTGAAAAAAACACGTACCCATATGGCAGTGGGTCGAAAAATCCCAAGATGGTCTCTTGAAAGACCAACACCTCGGAAAGCTGAGCTCCAAAATTTCGAGCCACACCCATCGTGACTCTTGCTTCGAACGCGCCTGGGCAAGGGAAAGTCTTCCACCAGCTCCTAAGCCATCGGGATTTCAATCCGTCCGTTTCGGGGGCACTGCGGGGCTGAAGATGTTGATTCTTGCGCGGTGCCACCAAATTGGGGACCACACATTTACTTCCAGTTGGCTTTTGAAGGCAAAAACCAAGGAACACCAAAACACAATATTGCTTTGTTTGCTACAAGGTTCCATTGCAACCGGTTGGCATTCCCACAAAGCTGTCAAAAGTCCAACCCCAAGCGACAGTGCCACGAGGCCCAAGGTTGAAAGGGTTGGCTTTCCAGCTCAACATGAAATAGCTAGGGCTACGCAGCTTTTTGTCTTTGCTTCCATTTTTCCAGGTGCCATTTTAGGCATTTTAGATACCAATATTTGAGCCACATACATGATTTGTAATTACCTCCTGCCGCAGGGTGGCAAGGCCCCAACTTCCTGGAGCCTTACAGTCACAACACTGAGCCAACGATATGCAAAAGAGGCTTCGCCCGCGAAAAAGAGAAATCGGTTGAAAGGAAATACCAGCTACTGAAAGTCGCAACGGTCCCCGACGTCCTACGTGTGCCCAGCGTCGAAGCGCAGTGGCAATGAGCACTTGGCACTCTGCATCTTGTCTGGCACGGCCGCCTGACGCAAGGTCCGGTGTCCCGTTTCCTTGTGGCCATATGGCAGGGGAATGGATATGGCCGCCTATGCTCCGTAGTTGCGCTGCATCCCTTTTCTCCAAAGTCTTTCAAAGCAGTCTTGCCATACGGACACAATGTGATAAAAGGTTGGATGCAGGGCAGTGAGTTTTGCTGAAGGGAAGACACCAATCTGCGTGTAATGCAATGAAGACAAAATGAGCAGAACTTGAGGAACCAGGACAGGAGGGGGAAAATCCTTGCACCACCAAATCCACCATACTTCGAAGGGCAACCTTCCAAATGAGAAATAACCAAGAGAATATGAGGGGCAATGCCCCAAAATCGGGGAGTCCCCAGAAGGGGGTGGGTGTCCATTTGCTTCCGCTCCAAAACAACCACACAAAGAGCCGTCCTCTTGTATGATAGCAACTAGTTTCTACTTTGCAACCACCTCCTCTGAGGGGGCATTTGTTTTATTTTTTTGAAGGGCTCCTGCCCGCAATATTGATGCTAAGTGTCCATGTCACTAGCCAAGTTCTCAAGTTTATCCTGCGTTTCCCCGTTCTGTGTCCTTGTTTGCCTATTTAGCCACGTCCTCCTAATGATTTCCATTGACGGGTCCGTGACCAAACAAAAACCACGCCCATGTGCTCCATTCGCTTAAGCTCCCTGAAACAAATGCGAGAAACTCTTTCCAGTAGTGAAACCGATTTTGAAAAGACAAATTCACATATTCATTTCAGCAAATGGAAGCAAAGGGAAAACTTGCACTTTGCGGGTCCTAAACAAAAACAACACCCATACAATCACCACACAGTCTCGCCATATCATCCCAAACCCCGGCCAATGGAAGATGTTGTTGCCTTCAAAACAAACCAAACAGGTCGGCTCCCCGTTCCCTCCGTTTTCGGCACCTGAAAGGCCTCTGCCGCTGGCACGCCCTGCAGCGCTTTGGCCACTGCTGTGCGGATTGCCAGGTCCTCGCAAGGAACCGAACTTGGAGAAGCAAATTAAAGCCCCCTTGTCCTTTTTGTGGCCAACCCTTCTGATACATTTTTTGGAATCATGGCAGTTATACCACCACATGGTTGGTGAACCTTCATGTGTGAGGTTGAAACCAACCCATTGTAGGCGTGATCGGTTCCTTTCCGGATCACGTGTGTTGCCGCAACTGGGTCCATTTCAGTAACATCCGCATAATTATCCCCCCAAGTGCTGGTTTGAACAAACCCACCCGGTCCCAAAAGGTAAACTTGAGGAATCCAGGGTTGCTTACAAATTGGCTTACAATAGGGTAAGTCCCTTTTTTGGTCTGGTCCTCTCCTCTCTTATCCACAAAAAGGAAATTGTGCCATCCATTTTCACTTGGTGTAAGCAACCAAACCCTTTCGTGCCCCCCTACACACAAACTAACACAGTCTGTTTGGACAACAGTCGCTCAATGATGATTGAACAGGGGGCTGCAAAGCGACAAAAAAGGCCAACGGTCCCCTTGCCGAGGGCCTTCCTACTCGCAAACACCAATCAGTTCCAACGAGTGACTTTGGAGTACTCCTAAAAGACCATGCTAACCAGGGGTAACAAAGCAAGTATTCTGTTTTAATGGGTTTCTCTGACCAGTAGGATGCGAATAGATCCGAGGTCCTTGGCAAAAAATCCTCATGTAGGAGGCCGGAATGGGTGAGATCGCAATCTCCCGTTGAGCTTGGCAAGTAAGCAGTTCTGCCCCGGCATGATGGACCCGAGGAACCTGTACGGGCCCAAAGAAACCCGCGAACATCAGGCCAACGTTCTCAGAGCTTGCAAACCACACAGGGATTAACAACAGCGGCGTGGCTATCAAACGTGTGCGCGCTTTTGGACAAACAAACCGGAATTCGCCAGTACTCACGGGGCCCTCAACGGGCTTTCATAGATGGGTTCCAGCTTGCGCCAAAGGACAATGATGTTCGTAGAATATCAGAACCCATTTGCAGTCACCAAACATAGAGCTGATTGCAAGTATGCCTTGCCCTAAGATCCCCAAGCGCTAACAAATGAATTTTGGCCTCCTCGTTTGCCACTTGGCGAATGAGCGGGAGTCAGCATAGCTTACTCTCATTCCAACAGATTGGATGAGAGGATACGGTGGGGATTCATGTCTACCAACTGCTTTGGTGGTGGTGCCCTATTGATGTTCATGGCCACATGGAGCCACACACTTAGCCTAAACTGGGACCTCCCAGGGTGGAGTGCACTGATATCATTTCCAGAGCCAAGTGTTGAGACCATCTTATCCTCCCAGCCAAACTCAAAAGACCCACCTCGTTGGATTGACCAAGAGCAAGTCCAAACTCTTTCTTTACAAATGTTAAGTACAAAGTCCAAGAACTCACCGAGTGAGATGCGTTAAGCTAAGGCTAGGCTTCTTGTGCCCGCCCTTATGCGCTTCCCATGTGTCCTGCTCTGTGTCCTGGTCTTTCTGCACATCCTTGCAAATTGCCAATGCGTGACAGCCATGGTAAGTGCGACCGACCGCCTGCATTTTCAGTCTCCACATGCATGCTCCCCAATTTTGTTAGGACCCCTCCAAATGGTGGGTCCAGCTCGGCTTTCTGGGAACCATCCACTACGGCTCACTAATCTTTGGAAGCAGCCACCATGTAAACAAGGCCGCTAATGACTTTTCAGACATCCTTGCAGCTCAAAAAGCAACAGGTCATCCCTACCAAACCAAACACATGAGCCACAGCCCACATTGCTTGTTTCGCCAAGGGGACATGGGGAAGTTTGCAAGTCCCTTGATATTTGAGAAAGGTTGAGAGAGATCATGTTCCTTGCAAACGGACCAATGCTACAGCAATTTTTGACGGCACCTCACATCAAAGTGTAGGCCAGGAGGCGATTCGGGCATGTCACAAACAAACGCAGTCGACTGCCTATCGGGCAGGGATCATTTTGCCAGGAAGCCCGCTCGGCAAAAAATCTCAGCAACCCCATTTTGTCATGGTAGTTTGGTGAGTGTCCGCAATGTCAGCCCCTGTCGACCGTTGTTTCGGAGTGTTCAACAGCGAGAGACCCCCCCCTTGCGGATGGTGCCTCTCATGAGAAGCCTTAAAGCGAACAATGGAGCGAATGTCAACCGCACGTGACTCACAGAAGTTGACACAACCATGCCAAGCAAACGGTGGCCAATGAAAGACCCGCGCTATGTCACTGCTGGCATGTCAAGTTTCAGCCTAGCTTGCTGTCTGGCTTGAGAGCGAGCGTCGTCTTCCCATAGGGGTTGGGAGGGCTCAGTTGTATTTGGACCACCTTACCTTACAATAGCTTAGAATGAACACAAACATACACACACCATCCGGTATTGAAGGAAAACTGCGCACGTGTGCCTGTGCGTGTGCGCTGCCATCCAGAAAAAAAGGTTGCGCCCCCTTTGGCTTCCCCTTAAAGCCAACCTGAAAGGGGTACTCTCAAAGAAACACACACACTTGAACTCGCAAGAGGGAGGAGTCTCATGTTCGAGTCAGCCGCAGCATCTAGGCTTGACTCGAGTCAGTCCGCATCATCTATTGAATGCGATGCATACGAAGGCCTTGCTCTAGTTACTTCTACAGTCAGCAGGTACACAGTTGGACGTCTCCAACTGCTTCGCCAGGCACTCGAGAGTGTCTTCTTTGTGGCAAACTCTCGGTCCTGCTGCCACGTTCAACTGTGTACCTGCTGACGTTGCACAAAGTGCTTTTGGTCCCTTCCCTGAACCGCTGTTGCTTCCTTGTTGCCTGTTGAAGTAACTCTAGTGAAGCTTTCGCATGCATCGGATTCAGTAGATGATGCGGCTGACTCGATTCAAACCTAGATGATGCGACTGAGTCGAATTCAGACTCCTCCCTCTTGGGAGTTTAAGTGTGTGTGTGTGTGTGTGTTCGCCTCCAGAAAAGTGGTCGGGTGCCCTTTGGCTTCCCCTTAAAACCAACCTGAAAGAGGTACCCTCAAAGAAAGACACACACACACTTGAACTCCAAAAGGAGAGTGCTAATCTTTCGAGTACAACTGATGAGTCTCGAGTACAACTGATGAGTCTCGAGTACAACTGATGAGTCTCGGCTGAGGTCTGCTTGCAAGTCACTTGGCTTCACTTTAGAAACGAAACCGTTACAGGAAAGAACAAGAAGCACAAACAGCGCCGCAACCAAGGGGGCCAAAAGGACATTCAGAATCACGGAAAGCAGGTACAGGTGTCCACGTCTGGACACCCTTCCCACCTTTGGCAATAGCTTCATTGCGTGCAGTATGCCAAAGGTGCTGCACGCTGGCAAGCCTTCCCCTGCTGCGAAACTGAAAGGGTGGTGACAGGGCATTCTGTCACTCCGCACACACACGCCCCTCTACGAGGGGCGAGGTTTCTCTTTTCTCCTGCAGGAAGATCACATGCTCAAACTCAAATCACTATCGTTGGCCAAAATATCCACCACGGCGAGGGGAGCGAGACACTACCCTAAACCGCTCAGAAGACGGGAACGAAAGTTCACAACGTTGAGCATTACGAGTGTCGCCATAGAGGACTGAAGCGATCTGCGAAGCAGCCGGGCGATCACCATGAGAAAACGGAGTGGCATAGGTGAAGGTCTCCTCAACTTGAACGGCATCGGAGTTCCGACCTTGACCAAGAGTCTGATCATGTGAACAGTGAGTTGCGAAGGACTCAATCCGAGACAGAATGCGCTGGTACCCTTGGTGTTGCCAGTCACGGATGTCCCATGCCTGGACTGGTGCTTCGGGATCCGTCACCCGCTGCCATTCACGAAAAGAGTTTTCAGGTAGATCAGGTACGGCGTCACCACGGTGCCATCGTTGAGGTTGTCCCGGAGTGTAAATCCGCACCCACTCCTGATCATGCCAGACCGAATATTCGAGCCATGGATACTGCTTGGAATCATCGATGTCCATGTCGAGGCAAGAGGCAAGGATGGTCGCGGGCTCCGATCCAGCTAGTAGGTGGACAAGCACCATGCACAACCATGTTCAAACAACAGCAAAGCAAGATCATGCAAGTGGAGAGGTCACCCTTATTTTGTACGCTGCGCTGCTCATGCAAGGCTAGTCTTCAGTGAGCTCGAAGACGGGCCTCATCTTGTCTTGGCCGCTACCGGACGGATTCACGGGCGTGTAGGGGTCGGAGACCCCAATCGTCTCCGATGGTGTGTTGCCACGCGATGCACGTACTGGTTGATGAGGATGAGAGGTCAGACGTGCGCGGGCCGTCAGTTGTTGAGAAATCCCCTCCTGGAGACGAATCAGTTCCTCAGTGGAGAAATCAGCCGCATCCGAGGACCTGAGAATCGCGTCTAACAGCTCCGGCGACATACTCAACGACGCAGACTGCGTGGCCACGTTATGGTGATCGGAGGGATACATGGAATCAAATTCATGACCGGCGTGAGGAGCAGCGATTCTCCGATAGCCCTCCGTGGCCCAGTCTCGCTTGTACCACGTAGTGACTTGGACTTGCCCTTCAACTGAGTCCTGGTTGGGAGCATAGAACTCCCGCCATTCTCTGAAAGTATGCGGAGGAGGTGGAGCATCCTGTTCTTCCTGAGGCGTCCATGGTCCCGGATGAAAGATCTTGACCCACTGGGCATCAGGTTGTTGAGGGTCCGGGCACCATTCCAGCCACGGCATGACAACGCAACCACGGAAAGTCAAGTTGATAGGTGTACGGCTGCAGACAACAACGAGTGAAAGCAAATCAACAATCAAAACGCAAAGACCACTTTTGTAGCACTGTACGGCGCCAACATCACAGTCAGACTCTCCAGGGAGGCGAGGACGGGCATCAGCTATCATGTGAATTGGATGATGCCGAAGAGGAGGTCATTCCAGCATACATGAGGTCCGGCGCACCCGAAGCGAAAACTGGTCTCGCTATGCTGGGATGTGGACGACCCAGGCGTTGGTACCCTCTGGTGACCCAGTCCCTGTAATACCAAGTGTAGAAAGTGGCGTGGGATACCGGTTGCAGAGCCGTGCCTATAGTTGTGCCGCCAGTGCTTTCCCTGGGCCAGTACACTTCGAAGTGGTAGACCTTGCGCCATTCCCGATAGGCGGTCGGGTCATCCGGGGCCGGTCCCAGGGTGTCAGGGGCTACTGGATGCCACTGACCCGGCACATAGATTCGAATCCATTCCACACTCGTTCCTGCTGGTCCATTGACGATGTCATAGTCAAAATAGCGAGGTAGGATCCATCCTGCTGCACCCTGCACCGTACTATTGAACATTTCAACCCGACAAGCTGCTCAAAGTTATCACAGAGAGCGGCGGACACATGGAGACAACATGCACAGCACCAAGCAAGACAACCCAATGAGAACTCACAGTCAAAGCACGCACAACCTCATCTTTATCCAACATGCAACTCATGAGTCAATCCGAATTATTCCAAGGATCGTGGAATGGTGGCGGTGACGGTTCCCGCCACGCTCCATCAGGTACCGACGAGCCCGCCGAGGACTCGATGTCTGCGTTGGCGAGCATCGCGAGTCCGATGGATTGGACAGGAGGTCCAAGTCGTTGGTACCCTCGCGTTTGCCAGTCTCGGTACTCCCACACGTGATAGGACACATATGCACTGGGCGTGGCAATAGGATCCATTGTGGTGCCTCCGGTGCTGTCTTCAGACCAGTACACTTGGAAGTGGTATGATCTGCGCCACTCCCGAAATGTGGAAGCGTAAAGTGGGTCCGGAACTGGCGCTTCCTCCGGAACGGGCCTCCAAATGCCCGGAGAGTAAATTCGAATCCATTCCACTCCTCTGTCGATCTGGTACTCGAAATACTGGGGGTTCATAGCAGCAATACGGGCTTGCACGACTGCTAAACAAATCGAAAATCTGCGGCAAGGACACACATGCATTGCCAACCGCACACATCCACTGAGGAGCAAGGCAACTTTTCAAACACAAGGTGAAACGGGTCAGCGAGGTCTGAAATGTCTGAAACCTGGCTTTCACTGTCTTTGATGTCGCGCACACCTGCAATGATAGTGACCTGGTCGTCTACGTGCACAAGGGGAAAGACATTTCCGTCCATGGCGCAGGATGGCGTGACAGTAATGTTTGCATGTTGCCGATGGGGATCGCGATGAACGGCCAGCACGTTTGGAATAAAACACTGTAAAGGGCCGTCGAGATCGCCTCGGCGCTGAAGCTGATGCTGTCCGAGATCGTTTGGACGAGCGCCCTGGACTGCGTGGTACTTCATCACGGGAAGGGTCTGTGTTGTAGATCGAGCGGCGTGTGCGCTGCGAATTCAAAGAGGTAGGGCAGGATTGTCCGCGAGGGGCTGAGATCGAGGTGCTGCGTATCGAGGGCATAAACTGGGGGTGTAGAATCACCGGTGGTGGTGGTGGTGGTGGTGGAGGAGGTGGGAGAAGCAGTGGCAGACTTGGCGGGGGCGGAGGCGACGTAGTCAGCCGAATGGGTCTGTCGAGT